GAGTTGCAACCCTAATTCTCATTGAACTAGCGGTGTGAGATTCCGTGCTACTTCGGAGCAACCGATGTTTGGGTCAACAATTTGCAATAAAAGTCTATTATCATTTCATTATTCTTTTTACCACTAATAAGTAATTTTATTTCACGTTTTTGACACTTTAATATCCTATTTTTTTGGTGTGTATCACAATAACACATATATAAATTTGACGCTTATAGTGATGCCTCCACTTTATATAATCTATTATATGCGTGATTTCGTTTAATCGAAGAAAAAATTTTATTTTTATTCTTTTAACAATGAAATTAATTTTATTTTGTTCCTTAAACTATTATATTTTTTATATTGCCTTTTCAAATAATTAAATTATTTCACACTATTCCAAATACAAACATCCACAATAATTTTGGATAAAAATTATTAACATGATGGGTCAAATTTAAAAAAAATCATATAGTTTGGAGGTAAAATGAAAAAAATTTCTGGAAAAAAAATAATTAATGAGATAATATAAAACAAATTATAATGAAAGGGTCCAGAGTGTAATTTATCCTGAAACAAATGTCTCGTCGCAGACTGCCCACTTGTATCTCCACCACCAGACAAACCAAAGTCACCAAGACCGACTTTTCTTACTCCTCTCTCTGTCAGTGACTGTCACCTCGCCTCCTCTCTCTCTCTCTCTCTCTCTCTCTACATTCACCCAGAAAGAGGAGCGAGAGAACAACCACCACATCCACTACCTTCGATGGCAATCACCTCCTTTGCCCACCTCTCGACCCATCCTCTACTCTTCCCAGTGCACCACCACCACCACTCTTCTCTTACCACTGTCTCTCTCTTCCCCACTCGTGTCACCACCACCTATCTCTCCACCTCCCCACTCAAACTCAATTCCCATCGAAACCCATATTTCCTCCTCTTAGCCACCGGCAATGGCAGTGATTATGGCACCAGCAGCGGCGGCGGTGGTGGCAGTGACCGAGGTGGTGGTGGAGGTGGAGGTGATGGTGGAGGTGGTGAAGATGGAGATGCTGGAGAGAGAAACAAGGCTGAGGCAATTCTAGCTTTGGCCGAGGTAGAGAGATCATTGGAAAGCATTCCTAAGGACTTGGCAGCGGCGATAGAGGCCGGTAGAATACCAGGGTCGATAGTGTATAGGTACTTCGAGCTGGAGAAGTCGCCGGTGTTCCGGTGGTTGCTGCAATTCGGAGGGTTTAAGGAACGATTGCTAGCTGATGATCTCTTCTTGGCAAAAGTTGCCATGGAGTGTGGTGTTGGGATCTTCACTAAGGTCTGTGGTTTGTTTTTCGATTCAATTCGATTTATGTGATTTTGAATTAATGGTATGATGTTTTTCGTTAGTGGATTTAGAGGGTGTTGTTGAATGTTTAAGTTTTATTTGTAATTTGGTTGAAAAATTGAAGTTTTAAGATAAGATTGTTCATAATTGGGGTTCTGAGGTTATTGTAAAAATTGCAACCTTAACACTATGATTTGCTTTGAATGATCTGGAAAAAATGATGGCTGAAGCAGTGGTAGATAATATCCAAAGGATAATACTAATATCAAGGATTAAAATTTCGTTTATGTTCCACTGAGTTGACTGAAACATTAGAAATTAGAACGAATCAGTAATTATCGGAATGTTAGGAGGTGTTCTCGAGATATTTCTGTATGTTTACTAATGATTTGGAAACAAATTTTCAAATTTTTCCTCTATTTCGTTTCGAAATTTTTTCAAAACATTTTTGAGATGCTTTCATTTTTGAGTTGACTGAAATTATCACCAAAATGAAATTTTGATCCATGATTGATATGAACAAGATGATGGTGATTTTTATGCATTGAAATTAGAGGGGGAATGGAGGTGATGCCAAGCAAGATGGGGTTTCACTTTTTGTAAGTTTAAAAAAGTAAGGTAACTTTTTGATGAATGGTTAATGTTCATGTAGTGTGCCCTTGGTTTTGTTGGTTAATGCTACTAATTGGTATTAGTGACTAATGGTCGGGTAATTTATCTGGCGAAAAATATATTTTGTTTAGATACCATGTAGTCAACTTCAGCTCTGTGGGAACTTGTTGACATCATAACTTTAAATTCACTACTTAGTGGTTTTTCTTCTTGCCTGAATGATTTTTTTTGTAGTTTCCTAGTTTACATATGATTGGAAAGCTGAGTTTCTTTCTAGAGTTATTTTGAATTTTGAAAAATATTAATGTTAAGCGAGGTTTTACAGCCATTTGTCAATTCTTTAAGACAAATTGGATACGAAAAGTTAAAGTTTTTTATAGTTAAAATAACTTCTAAACCTTTCCATTTTGGCTAAATTTGCATTTGACTTGTGCACACAATCATATCCCAATTTATCCACCTCTGTGAGGTAAGTTGTCCAATTCTATAGCTTCTACGTCTAATGAATGATTATTTAATCTGTGCTTTTGTTTTGACATACGGAAAATTATATCACCACATTGAACGCAAAGTTGTGGATAGCATCTAATGAGGCAATGATATGCATTTTCTTTCTATACGTTAAATATCTCAACATTTTTGAGGGAGTAATTAAAATGTGAGAGTATCCTCTTGTTTCAACATTTCACCAGTGAAAATATAAAGTCCTGAAATCAATGGTCTTATTGGAAGTAAATAGGCCTTTTCAGCCAAATATGAATTCTAGCAGTGAAACCCTTTTTCCATCTTTTGGTTTTTGGGGTAGTTATTCTCCACTTGCAGGGATTTTTTTTTTGAATAATTTGCAAAAGGAGGAGACTACATTCCTTTTCTTTTTTCATTCCCAAAACTGTTCCCTTCAAACTGCATTCATGGCTTTGATGTGTCAATTCATGAAATATTGGTGTATCTTTTTCATGTCCATGTTTTACTGCTTTCTTGTCATTAAAATCTTTTATTCCTTGAAATTGCTTTTTGTTTTGGATACCAGATTTTTGTAACTAGAAAATCTTCCTTCAGAATGATATATATTTTTGAGACCACTCCTACTTTTGAACCAACCAATTTCTTTGACTTATCAAAAAAGTAGTAATGGAATCCTGGATATTTAATTCAGTACGATCTCTGTTGCTTCTATTGAATGATTTTGTTTGATCTTTTCAAACCACCATTATTTGTTATTTTTTGGAGCTGAAATTTTGTTTTCACTGTGATTTGTTTCTAATAATGACCATTTGTCAGTCATACATCTAAACTTGCAATCTGGGTTCATTATAGACTGCTGCAGAGTTGGAAAGGCGTAGAGAAAAGTTCACTAAGGAGCTTGACTTTGTCTTTGCTGATGTGGTATGGCTGTCTTCCTCCATGTCTAGCTTATGTATGTTTTCAATTTAATTGATAATTAGAGCAGTCCATCAAGCTTAATCAATTAGAACGAAGACAAAGCAGAACAGTAGATCCTTAAAGCTTAGGCAAAAGGCTAAAATAAAAAAGGTTTGTCATTTACACTTTGAACAATCACATGTTACAAAGTTTCAGCTGAGGAAATTAGTTTGACTAAGCTCATAGAGTACGGGTTTTTTGTTTATTGCTGCAGAATATTTGAAAGTTAAGTTTCAAACAAGGTTTGTGTTTCTAAACTTGGTGTGGCTTCATTTTGCACTAACCCTTACTCAAGGGTGCAACAATTGGAGCTCAGCCTAAAGGCTTCTGGTTTTAGGGGAGGGTGGTAGGGGAGCCTAAAGGCTCCACTGCTTCCAGCTGAGATGAAGCCATTTACACCTAGCAGAAAACAGGCTGAGTTTGGGCTGGCCAAATTCAACAAATTGGTAACACAAAACTAAACAATTTTAAGAAGCAATCAAGGTTGCATACTGGCGCTACATGTTCAGATGAATGACACTTTTTACACGTGAAGTTCACACTGCTTTGCACTTTATTCAGTCTGTCAATTTTATGAATTTGGCGCTCTATGTTTCAGATTTGAGAATGTTAGGTCCTCAATGTTGTCTTTTATTTGGACTCTTGAAATTCAGCTAGAATATTGAGGACCAAATTGACGCAACTAAAAGTTAAGTGAATAAACTGCACATCAGTGTGAAATGTAGGTGGTTTAGGTGTGTGTTGACCATGCACTCTTGCGTAGTGTAATGTCGTATGTATGACAGATGTGGTGTGGTGATTGACCTCAGTGCTAATGGTTATCCTCAAGGCTCAATGAATGAACGAAGCGATGATTGTACCTAGATAGAAATGATGGTCTTCCTCTATTTGGTGAAGTGGCCAATAGGAATCTGTTCTCGCTTATTGGTAGATAGCAGGTTGCTTCTAAGCTTCAACGATTTGAAACTGAATCGCTACATTTTTCTTGTTATTGATAAAGTCTTATTCTCTGCCTCTGTCAAATGTAGTAGAGGGAGAGAGCTGGAAGAGAGAATGAAAAAGAGCAAATGATTTACAAGTCTAGTGGGACAAAAATGGCTGTCACGCTGCGCACTGTGCCAGAAATTCTCGTCAGATTACATCTTTCTTATTTACATGGTTGAAGTACTATCCTCTATAATACCATGTATTGTATTGGAAAAGATAGGTTAAATGGAAAAATGGATCTGTTGCCAATTAAATTGGTTGAAGTTTTGTTGTGTTGAGTCAAGTCTGCAATACCCTAGACTGTGGACCATGTTTGCAATCTGCTCATTTTCTCTTATAGCTTGTATTTAGTCATCTGGAAGACTTGTCTGGTTGCAAAACTTCTCTTAGTTTTAAACTAGTAAAAATCGTATTTCTTTATTTGAATGCATGCTTTTTGATAATTTTTATTCTAGGTAATGGCCATTATTGCAGACTTCATGCTTGTCTGGCTTCCTGCCCCTACTGTCTTTCTCCGACCGCCTCTTGCAATCAGTGCTGGACCTCTTGCTAAGTTCTTCTATAGCTGCCCTGATAATGCATTTCAGGTTGTTTTGTTGAATTTGTTCCGAGTAAATGTATATAAATTGCACATGCATGTAATCAAGAGTATTTTAAATCCTGTCTGCAGGTTGCTTTGGCTGGTACATCCTATTCATTTTTACAGAGAATAGGTGCCATAGTGGTATGTAGTATGATTAGTGAATTCAAATAAACTATTCTTGCAGTAAATAAATGAAGCTCATGTCTTACGATCTGTGGTGCAGCGTAATGGGGCCAAGCTATTTGTAGTTGGAACTGGTGCATCTCTGGTAAGGAAATTATTTCTGATGTTTCCATGTTCATCAACAAAGATTTAGACTTATTTAGTTCTAGGTGTTCTGCCCCAGTATTGTTCCATCAACATGGAACTGTCCACGTGTTCCAATCTCCGTTGGTGGTAAATTTCAATGGCCATTGTTGTTTCTGAAGCTGACTGTTTGTTCGCTAACGCACAGTTTAGAAGAATACATAACTGGACTTTGCTTACATGGTTACTTGATGTCTGATTCTTGCGTTTTACTCGCTGGCCTAAATTATGGTGAATTACAATTGAGCAATTATCACATACACTTGTGGTTCCTTGTCTTGCTTGTTTTTGACCTTGTTCCCTAACCAAAATTAAAGAAAGACTTGTCAGACCAACAATAAAAAACTAGAAGAAATGAGAATTATCCTTTCCTTTCATTATTTTTCTTTGGCCTTACATATTTGATTGTTTCTTTCCTTTTTTACATATTTGATTGTTATTCTCTATCTATATGTTGTTTTGTGTAATATACCCATGAGTTTTTTTTAATACATGTATGCTGCATTTTTGTATTATTCAGAAGTTCCTTTGTGGTGCATGTTTGTCTTTGGAATTACATCAGAGCCAGAATTATGATGCCGGTTTAAGGATCTTGTGAATTTTCTATGAAATTTTTGCGATGTCCTGTTTTCTACGGACTCTTATACTTTATCTTGAGGTCAACCTCCACATGGCCATTGGCATTGGCACTTGCACATTCTGTATTGGGATCCAAACTATGCTACCTATATCAAACCTGAGTCTTTCTGTAGGTGTTGATAACATGTGTTTGCCACTTTCAAACATCAATGTGAAATTCAAAAACATTTTTGATGCAAATTGTCTTTAATAGGTNTCCTCTCTCTCTCTCTCTCTACATTCACCCAGAAAGAGGAGCGAGAGAACAACCACCACATCCACTACCTTCGATGGCAATCACCTCCTTTGCCCACCTCTCGACCCATCCTCTACTCTTCCCAGTGCACCAGCACCACCACTCTTCTCTTACCACTGTCTCTCTCTTCCCCACTCGTGTCACCACCACCTATCTCTCCACCTCCCCACTCAAACTCAATTCCCATCGAAACCCATATTTCCTCCTCTTAGCCACCGGCAATGGCAGTGATTATGGCACCAGCAGCGGCGGCGGTGGTGGCAGTGACCGAGGTGGTGGTGGAGGTGGAGGTGATGGTGGAGGTGGTGAAGATGGAGATGCTGGAGAGAGAAACAAGGCTGAGGCAATTCTAGCTTTGGCCGAGGTAGAGAGATCATTGGAAAGCATTCCTAAGGACTTGGCAGCGGCGATAGAGGCCGGTAGAATACCAGGGTCGATAGTGTATAGGTACTTCGAGCTGGAGAAGTCGCCGGTGTTCCGGTGGTTGCTGCAATTCGGAGGGTTTAAGGAACGATTGCTAGCTGATGATCTCTTCTTGGCCAAAGTTGCCATGGAGTGTGGTGTTGGGATCTTCACTAAGGTCTGTGGTTTGTTTNATTGTTAATTTATGTGAATATTATGTAATATATGTATTAGGTTTAAAACGACAATCCTATTTTGAGTTTTACCCGAATTCAACCCGTAAAATAATCCGAAATCATTAATTTGAATTTAACCTGAATCCACCCAAATTAAACTTGGGCAGTGCTCGGGTTGAGTTTCTTAACTCGAGGTAGAGTTAGGGTTAAGATTAGAATTAAAATTAAGATTAAAATTAGAATTAAAGATTATATACATAACATTAAACTAAAATTAACTGTCCAACTCGGACCCGAGTTGCAACCCTAATTCTCATTGAACTAGCGGTGTGAGATTCCGTGCTACTTCGGAGCAACCGATGTTTGGGTCAACAATTTGCAATAAAAGTCTATTATCATTTCATTATTCTTTTTACCACTAATAAGTAATTTTATTTCACGTTTTTGACACTTTAATATCCTATTTTTTTGGTGTGTATCACAATAACACATATATAAATTTGACGCTTATAGTGATGCCTCCACTTTATATAATCTATTATATGCGTGATTTCGTTTAATCGAAGAAAAAATTTTATTTTTATTCTTTTAACAATGAAATTAATTTTATTTTGTTCCTTAAAATATTATATTTTTTATATTGCCTTTTCAAATAATTAAATTATTTCACACTATTCCAAATACAAACATCCACAATAATTTTGGATAAAAATTATTAACATGATGGGTCAAATTTAAAAAAAATCATATAGTTTGGAGGTAAAATGAAAAAAATTTCTGGAAAAAAAAATAATTAATGAGATAATATAAAAAAAATTATAATGAAAGGGTTCAGAGTGTAATTTATCCTGAAACAAATGTCTCGTCGCAGGCTGCCCACTTGTATCTCCACCACCAGACAAACCAAAGTCATCAAGACCGACTTTTCTTACTCATCTCTCTGTCAGTGACTGTCACCTCGCCTCCTCTCTCTCTCTCTCTCTACATTCACCCAGAAAGAGGAGCGAGAGAACAACCACCACATCCACTACCTTCGATGGCAATCACCTCCTTTGCCCACCTCTCGACCCATCCTCTACTCTTCCCAGTGCACCAGCACCACCACTCTTCTCTTACCACTGTCTCTCTCTTCCCCACTCGTGTCACCACCACCTATCTCTCCACCTCCCCACTCAAACTCAATTCCCATCGAAACCCATATTTCCTCCTCTTAGCCACCGGCAATGGCAGTGATTATGGCACCAGCAGCGGCGGCGGTGGTGGCAGTGACCGAGGTGGTGGTGGAGGTGGAGGTGATGGTGGAGGTGGTGAAGATGGAGATGCTGGAGAGAGAAACAAGGCTGAGGCAATTCTAGCTTTGGCCGAGGTAGAGAGATCATTGGAAAGCATTCCTAAGGACTTGGCAGCGGCGATAGAGGCCGGTAGAATACCAGGGTCGATAGTGTATAGGTACTTCGAGCTGGAGAAGTCGCCGGTGTTCCGGTGGTTGCTGCAATTCGGAGGGTTTAAGGAACGATTGCTAGCTGATGATCTCTTCTTGGCAAAAGTTGCCATGGAGTGTGGTGTTGGGATCTTCACTAAGGTCTGTGGTTTGTTTTTCGATTCAATTCGATTTATGTGATTTTGAATTAATGGTATGATGTTTTTCGTTACTGGATTTAGAGGGTGTTGTTGAATGTTTAAGTTTTATTTGTAATTTGGTTGAAAAATTGAAGTTTGNTTTTCGATTCAATTCGATTTATGTGATTTTGAATTAATGGTATGATGTTTTTCGTTAGTGGATTTAGAGGGTGTTGTTGAATGTTTAAGTTTTATTTGTAATTTGGTTGAAAAATTGAAGTTTTAAGATAAGATTGTTCATAATTGGGGTTCTGAGGTTATTGTAAAAATTGCAACCTTAACACTATGATTTGCTTTGAATGATCTGGAAAAAATGATGGCTGAAGCAGTGGTAGATAATATCCAAAGGATAATACTAATATCAAGGATTAAAATTTCGTTTATGTTCCACTGAGTTGACTGAAACATTAGAAATTAGAACGAATCAGTAATTATCGGAATGTTAGGAGGTGTTCTCGAGATATTTCTGTATGTTTACTAATGATTTGGAAACAAATTTTCAAATTTTTCCTCTATTTCGTTTCGAAACTTTTTCAAAACATTTTTGAGATGCTTTCATTTTTGAGTTGACTGAAATTATCACCAAAATGAAATTTTGATCCATGATTGATATGAACAAGATGATGGTGATTTTTATGCATTGAAATTAGAGGGGGAATGGAGGTGATGCCAAGCAAGATGGGGTTTCACTTTTTGTAAGTTTAAAAAAGTAAGGTAACTTTTTGATGAATGGTTAATGTTCATGTAGTGTGCCCTTGGTTTTGTTGGTTAATGCTACTAATTGGTATTAGTGACTAATGGTCGGGTAATTTATCTGGCGAAAAATATATTTTGTTTAGATACCATGTAGTCAACTTCAGCTCTGTCCAGAGGGAACTTGTTGACATCATAACTTTAAATTCACTACTTAGTGGTTTTTCTTCTTGCCTGAATGATTTTTTTTGTAGTTTCCTAGTTTACATATGATTGGAAAGCTGAGTTTCTTTCTAGAGTTATTTTGAATTTTGAAAAATATTAATGTTAAGCGAGGTTTTACAGCCATTTGTCAATTCTTTAAGACAAATTGGATACGAAAAGTTAAAGTTTTTTATAGTTAAAATAACTTCTAAACCTTTCCATTTTGGCTAAATTTGCATTTGACTTGTGCACACAATCATATCCCAATTTATCCACCTCTGTGAGGTAAGTTGTCCAATTCTATAGCTTCTACGTCTAATGAATGATTATTTAATCTGTGCTTTTGTTTTGACATACGGAAAATTATATCACCACATTGAACGCAAAGTTGTGGATAGCATCTAATGAGGCAATGATATGCATTTTCTTTCTATACGTTGAATATCTCAACATTTTTGAGGGAGTAATTAAAATGTGAGAGTATCCTCTTGTTTCAACATTTCACCAGTGAAAATATAAAGTCCTGAAATCAATGGTCTTATTGGAAGTAAATAGGCCTTTTCAGCCAAATATGAATTCTAGCAGTGAAACCCTTTNTCTTTGGCCTTACATATTTGATTGTTTCTTTCCTTTTTTACATATTTGATTGTTATTCTCTATCTATATGTTGTTTTGTGTAATATACCCATGAGTTTTTTTTAATACATGTATGCTGCATTTTTGTATTATTCAGAAGTTCCTTTGTGGTGCATGTTTGTCTTTGGAATTACATCAGAGCCAGAATTATGATGCCGGTTTAAGGATCTTGTGAATTTTCTATGAAATTTTTGCGATGTCCTGTTTTCTACGGACTCTTATACTTTATCTTGAGGTCAACCTCCACATGGCCATTGGCA